AATTCTCAAGGAAAATGTGCGCATAAGTATCGGTTTGACACTTCCAATATCGACATGAATTTTGGCTCAGTGGTTTAGGGTGGTGCCTCCAATTTGATGAGTGAGGTTCGGGTCCCACTACGGTTAAAGTTAAGAAGCGGTTACATGGTGTTTGGGGTTCACCAAGCTCCAAACCAGGAGTCACGTCCTCCGGCCGTCTTTTGATCGTTTGTCCATTGATCAACAGATTTTAAGGTGATGTAACCATATATGTTTTCACGTACTATTAGATTGTATATCAGAGTTGTTACAGTATAGTATATATTGATAGCTAGGTAAAAATTGAGAAGTCTTTACGTCTATGAATAATAATATAGACAAACTTTCATCTGACTAAAATTGCGAAATTGCTAGCAGATCTTACATTCTGACGTGCTGAACTTGGCATCATATGTGAATTCTTAGAAATGCTGTGCATGCAGCTAGCGCTTTGCAGCAGGCTGTTCTGGTAATAATTTGACTTCTACAATTGGGTTTTGATGGAAAAGAAGTGTTCGTGCATCTCTGCGCATCAAGAACTAGTGCAGTCGACGAAAGATAAGTATCTTTGACACGTTGCCGTACTTTTTGGCTTAACCAAGAACCTTATCACCGTTGTGCACTTTAAAGTGTACATATCTTGACAAAGTTTGAATTATAGACCGTAATAGTACGGCAGTATTCTAATTTCTATACCATTTCTAGGATTTTTGGAACAGCTTTAAGAAATTTTTAGCGGGAGTTTACTCAGCATACTTTGTTTCGATATCTATGGTTTGAACAGAAGTTGTGCATATCCCGGTCTAATGTGCGCTGGAATTTGGTTTGCAACATAGTCTTACAGGCAGCACCAGACCTCTAACTTCTGGTTGCTGCAACTTATTCAAGGACAGTCTATCTGACATACGTTTGATCTTCAAGATCTACACATTTCTCTGGCTATATTGATCAACACATGACGCGCCAGAAAGAGTTGATTTTTTTAATAGCACCTCCCACGAAGGAGATCTAAAAAAATCTTAACAGTAAGGACTAAGCTACCTGTTGAGCGGGGAGCATTGCTGAACTTCCACCGAATGAGAGAGTGAATTTTGCGAAATTTGCGGTACAGTCTACTTATGATACAAGGAAACTGGTGTACTTGTATCGAGGTGCACACAATATCATCAAAAGACGGTGTTTTGTGTTAAGCAGTGATTTAGCTGGTAGATTATGAAGTGAAACATGAACAAAGTGTTTGCAATTTTCACGTGAGTGCGAAGCCATGACCAGGTCAATCACTTGTACAACTCAAACCATTACTTCCATAAGAGTCACGATTATCGTCACCCGCTGGTAATTTGTGGAAGGGTGGTCTGGTATCCCAGCAAATACGACCTTGTGTGTAACGGGTTTATACGTACCCTGGTAACAGGGTGTGTGTCACACGAGATATGCATGGTGTGGCTGCACCCAAACAAAAATACGGTATGTGGCTAGGTAGCCAGTAGTTATGCATGAATTTAGATTTTACTATTTATATTTTGGAAAGTCCAGACATTTAAAATCAGGCGGTCTAGCCGCAGATAAAAATAAACAAAAATCAATTTGAATTTAGACTGAAGAGTTTATTAGCCTTGGTTAAGGTAGTAACTACTCTTGGAGTTAGCGGGTGGCGATCCGCTACACTCGTATTGGTTCTTTACAAAGTAAAGAACGAAAGGTCGGTGACCTTAATTACGCTTCCTCAAGCGCTAAGTTACGGCAGCTCCGCTGCATCGTGAGTCCAGGGGTGAAGAGACGTTTACACCACCTCCATGCTCAACGCAGTGAAGAATGCCGAGATCTTTGGCTGCTTCAGTCTCGCTTACAGCATCCCTACTGCATGCACCATGACCACAGCGATATCGTGCCCACTCTGGCCATGCACAATTGCGTACATCGGCACGCGACTAGAGCTTCGCGGTGGGGAAGGCTTGTATATCTTACCAACTTACTCCTCATCGGCAGCATCACCCTCTACATCACTGGTCTGTCCACAGTGGTTCCATGGAAGTTATGATGTAGGCGCAAGCGTCGAGCAGGCAGGCGAGGTCGAGATGGCGAATAAATACGCTGAGCTCGGAATTTATCGGCATAAACACAGTCGCTGGATGACTTAAGCAGAGCAGCCAAAAGTGCGGGCACGATACCCCTATAACACCAACAGCTCCGCATGGTGTTCTTACTGACACCAGCCAACGCATCAACAGAAAACTTGATCGCTGTCAGAACGTCATGCGTGAGACGTTGTAGTCGGCCTCGAGCTGGTCAATTACCCAGCGTACAAGAGGTCTCGTGTGCTTACACTTGAAGTTCTTGATGATTCCAGCGTCGAGTGGCTGCAAGAAAGATGTCGTGTTGGGTGGGATAAAGCATGAACGGGCCTTGGCGAGCTCGATGCTACGGGGAAACGACCCGCTGTCCATCGACAGCGGCATTCTTCGGATGTGCATCATAAGATTGAAACGGTGGGGCCATTCCTAGATGACAACGCGCATAATCTATGACTAAAGCTTGCGTAGAACTGGATGCGAATTGCTGTCTGTTCACTCTCCGAAAATAGCGAGGCTGCTTGCTGCTTTGGATGATGAGGGGGTCCATTTTCTCGGGACCTGCCATATTGCAGCATAGACTGACAGTAATACGAGCCTTGCACGAATTTTGCCAGCTGCGCGACTGGCTGGGTAGCATGGAAATGAAGATGCTGCTTTGATCGAAATATATAAGACACCCTGCAGCTCTACACCTCAATCTGAGCATGTAGCTCGCGGCTCTTTGTGTCGACCGTGGCGAGTTCTACTCGCCCGGATTTGCCTTGCATAGTGTGTAAACGAATGCTGTGGCGTCGCTTGAGCTTCTGCAACTACGAGTACAAGACGTCTTGCGGATGGAGATGCTCGTTCGCCTTCTCTAAGAGAACAAAATAACTTAGAGCTGCGAAGGCCAAGTGTAGCTTCCCAAACTCCTGCAAGGGCTAAGAATCGAGGCTGGTGCAGGCGTCTCGCGTCTTTGGTGAGACTGTGGGCGGCGCTGAGACGACGCGGGTAACCGTCAAACGACCAATTGCCATGTCGATCTCGGATAGTAACCATAAAGCGAGATCCTGGTGACGAAGATGACGGTTTGCCTTCACGTAGGCAACCAGCTCGTCCTTTGGCTGTAGGTCAAGCTTGTGCGTGTCATTATACTTGCATTTTTGATACACGCTTTTGGAACAGCGAAACGGGACATTCATCCATTGCTCTTAGGGACATGTGCTCGTAAATTATACAGCCATTTTTTACTTGGATTTTGGTGATGTTTTTTGCTATAAGTGTCTTGGTTATTATGTAGAATTTGCTCCTATATGGTGGGTCCTTCTATCGTAAGCAGACTTTACAAGCATGTGTCCATATTTGTAGATAACAG